CTTATTCCTACATGTTTTTATGACTCCGACGTTCTGTTTTGTAGTCGGTATGTTTTTTTTTTTTTTTTTTTTTTTTTTTTTTTTTTTTTTTTTTTTTTTTTTTTTTCGTAAACGGGTTGGGTTTCTTACGGTAGAATTTCGTTATATCAATATGTTAAAATGGTTTTTTTTGTTTATTGTGTGTGTACTGACATTGTCTGTCACGGTTTTGGATTTGCTAATTGTCGGCTTGTATCATGTGTATGTTGTTTTTAAATAAAATATAAAAAAAAAAAAACATATCTACGCAGTAGGTACCTGAACACCTAATCGTACCTATTTTGTCAACCGGCTTTGGAGAGGATTTACTGGACTACCGGTGATGTCTGTGGACTCACCGTCTACGTTGATCAACTGTGGGCCGGAATCATCAGATGCTGTTTGGTGGGACATTACATGAAGAAAAGGTTGGAGTGTTACACTGAACTGGGCCAGGACCGTAGTGTGACACTTAGGAACGTATGATGGAGTGGAACACTGAGATATGCACAGGACCGTAGTGGAACACTGAGATGAAAAGGGTGTCGTGGGACACTGAAGATGGCCTGGTTGTAGTGTACACTGAATAGTGTCATGTGACTGGCCTCGTGTCGTGAGAAGCAGTTGATTGTAATTTATTATTATACAAATGTTATTTATAATTTATTATTTTAGTATAGAGATATATATATAGTGAGAGTAGTGTCAAGAAAGTTGTACCCTGTGTAGGGTCACGAATAATTATTATTTTAATTAGATGCTAATTATAATTTATTATAGTAACATGTACATATATCATAGTTCAAATACCTTTAGACCAAAGATAGTTGATTTATATATATTAAAGATTAATTGATTTTAATGTGTGTATTTATGTATCCCAAACTCTTTATTACAAAAGGAGTAAATCTTGCTACCATCTTTTAAAATTACTTTTTTGTAATAGAGGTGCATGTGTGTAAATGTAGTGTGTGGTGTGTGAAAGTAATATTATTAAAGATAAGAAAGCTCCCTGTGTTTTGGCGTTATTATGAGGAAATCAAGATGAGATGTAAGGTAAAATGGTGTCCAGGGTTAATTTATCTTTATGGCTTAGTTCATAATATAACAGATGAACAATTTAATGGCTATTTAAAAAACTTTCGTGGATAGTAAAATTTCTGTTTTTTTTAGGGAAATATTATAATGTAAATACTTTTTGGGGTGGTGAGACACTCCATTGTCAAAATAGTAATGTAACATCTGATGAACGTTAGTAAATGTTTGTATATATGCCAATCTGTTGGTGATACTAGTTTTTTTACTTTGGGGTGGAGGGGGGATATTTAAATAAGAAATTCTATGCCATGATCAATACTATCAATTTTATTGGTAATCGTCACAAGTGTTGGAAATATAAACTTAACATATTGTCTTGTGTATGATTTTAAATAACATATAAATAAAAATTCATTGTCCTCATAGCTCTCGGGCCGTGTGATGTGCTGCGCAAAAGCTCCTGCATTCTCTGTTTGCGCAACTTCCTGTTTTCACCAAGATGGCAACCAGTTACCCCAGGAGGAGTAACACTGTGTGTGTTGACTTAGTTAAAGGAACAATTTATCCGACGAACACCTGTTTTATTGCCAACAATCATACGGGACACATTTAACATAGACAACGATGAACTACATGGAATAGCGCTTAATGGCTCTTCACGAATCTTCATAAAGTTCTGCAACGTAGACGCTTATGAAAGAGCGGTGACTAGCTACCAGGAGAAGTCCATCTGCATTTCATCTGGACTTGAGGTACGCTTGCGGGATGCCTCAAAATACTATACCTGGGTGAGGATACGAAATGTCCCTTTTGAAGTGGATGAAGGGATATTAGAGGGGTTTTTTCAACGATGGGGTTAAGTGCATGCTATGACTTTGGGTGAGGGGCGGAGGGAAATCTATGCAGGGTGCCTGCAGGATCCTAACCCCATAAAGTGATTTTGGAGACCTTTCCCATGTTTTTGCCCTGGGGATTTCAGGACACATGTGTTTTGACCTATGGGGACAACGAAGACGTGTCGTCTGTGTGGCGCTTATGACCACATGGGGGCCCCGGGTTTTGTGGTAGGGCAGAAACGCCGAGGCTTTGGACCTGCCAGTTGCCCCAAGTTTCAGGGGGCATTTTGACTGAGGTTGGGGGAGTGCAGTAGGTAAAGGTAATTTTGGGGACAAAAGGGGGAGAGAGGGGGAAATTTGTGTGACTTACAGTGGCTTCGGACGTTCCCACGGGAAAGCCCCTGGTGGTGAAAGCGCCTGAGGGGTGGAGGAGGCCGGTGACCCCAAAAGGGTTTTTCCAACCCCCGCAGGAGATAAATTAAATCTTTTCCCGGACGGGCCAGAAGAGGGATCCCCTGTAGGGGGGGGGGAATTTATGGTGAGGAAAAAACCCGAGTGAAGGGTCCCGGTTTTTTCCTGGAGTAGAGCTGGTGTTTGGGGGCTGCAAGTGGAGGCTCGGTGCACAGGGGGAGTGATAAATGATATGGAGTTTGGGTACTCAAAAAAAAAGGTGGGGTCATGGATGAGTGTATAATCCAGTCACCCTATGGTAAGAAGGTTGGGGGGGAGTGCTAAGAACGGGCAGATAGTGCCAGGGGGGGAAGGGGTTCGGGGGGCAAGAGTGCTGGGTAAAAAAAAAACGGCACAGCAAAAAGTGTAATGGACGGCCCCAGAAACATAGAGGAAAAGCCCCCTTCGAAAACTTTAGGTCTTACAATAAATGTGAAAAGGCCTTGGGCTCATTTTAAAAGGTATGGTTTTGGAGGTGTTTTGAGGGGTTTTAATATTGATGTGTGTTTCATTCAAGAACACTTTTTTTAAGTGTGGTAAAGAGTTTGGGCGGGAAAGGGTTTAGGATGTATCGGGCCCAGCTCAGGAAAAAAAAAGGAGGGGGGGTGGCAGTTGGCAGTGAGGGAATCCAGCCCATTCCAAGTGTTGGGGGGAAAGAAGGTGGGAGGGGAGGGGGGGTGAGGGTGGGGGGGGGCTTTGGGAGGAGATTGGTGTGTTTTTAGGGATGTATACCCCGGTGATAGCAATTGAGGTAAAGGTGACTTTTGAAAGGGGAGGTTTTGGTTTTCTTTTGCGGGGTTTACCTGGTTTCTATAGTAGGAGGGGTTTGGGAAACTGTGAAATCAGAAAAAAGGATGTGGAAACATGAGGTGCGGGTGTGTGTTGGGGTTTTTGGGGGATTCATTGAGGGACGCAGGGGTTTTTGACAGCAGGGGAGTGGGTGGGAGTGGAGCACCGTTTATGAGAAGGGGTTATGCACTAGGTTTGGGACCATATAAAAAACTCGGGAGATTACGGACAGTGAATGACTTTTGATTTGGGTTTTTTTGGACCTCACCCGTTTTGGGAGGGGGGCTGGGAGGGTGGTTCGTAGGTATATGGGTTTTTGGAAAAACTAAATGGAGGTTACTCATGGGGAGGGGGGGGGTTGGTTTTTTGAATGGTGGGGCCCTGGGGGGCGCTCAACAAAGGGGGGTGTACTGGAAGGGTGGGATAAGTATGT